ACGCTCGAGGGCGAGGTGGAGCTCGAGGGCGAGGCCCTCTGGCGGCTGCTGGCGCCGCTGCCACCCGCCTCCAACTCGGATGAGGCCGAGGCGGCCGAGACCGAGGCGGCGCCCGCCGTGCCGTCCGAGACCGCGCGTGAACCCGTGGGAGCATATGTCGCCGCGAGGCCCGAGTCGCTCGCCGCGCGGAGCGCCGCGTCCAGGGCGTGGTCGGCGGCGATTGTGGCAAGGGCAGACTGGTGTCTGCTGCGGAAGAGGTCCAAGCGCCTGCTTTTGCAGCTGGAGAATGTCTGGTACGAGGGGGAACTCGCTAGACAGGAGTGGGCGCGCTTGGACGCTGCTGCCAGGGCGCTGCGGCCCCCGACCACCATGGAGCTCCAGCAGATCGTTGGCTTGGACAGGAGCATCGATCACCACTAAGGCCGAGGGCAAACTCGACGGAGGATGCGGAGGCATGGGGAGGAGGTGTGAGGATGGTGGAGGGGGGCGGGGGGGGGCAACATCCCTCGCGAACCAACCCGCGACCCGTTCGGCCACCCAACTCGCGACCCACGCGCGGCCCGCCCGATGCCCAAGCATCTCACTTTAGATCGGCGAGATGAGCACGCCGACGCTTGCAACTGGTTCCTCTGCATGCTCGTCCGATCCTGTCGGGCTGCCGACGGCCCCAGCCACCGCTTTCCGATCAGTGCAACGAAGAGCCGATCGAAGTATCTCGCGTGCACGGGGGCGCCCAGATGCGTCAGCTGATAGAGAGCGCGGCTAGCGTCTCTGCTGTTATCGGGGGCGCAACATACGGGTGCAACGTGTGCGCTCAACCTGCGGGCCCAACCAATGGGCGCAACAGATGGGGCTATATCACGATATCTCCCTATTAATTATATATACACATATACAGACATACATATACATCTGTATGTTTACAGCTGTCTGCGGGAAGTACCGCAACCCTGCCAGGTCAGCTCGAATCGCTGGGGATGGTGATGACGATGATGGTGATGATAATGTCGCCGATGATGGCGATGATGGCGATGCTGCTGGTGACGGCCACCAGAGGATGAGGAGGACAATGAGGAGTAGATGGGGGGGGGGATGGCGACGAGAATTGTGGCGGACGCGGAGGGTGAAGAGCACGATGCCGATGTTGACGATGGTGATGATGGTGATGACGATGATGATGATGCTGCTGATGCTGGTGATGCTGATGCTAGCGCTGATGACGATGATGACGGCGATGATGATGACGATGACGATGACGATGATGTTGACGATGATGATGATGATGATGATAACGGTAATGCTGATGCTGATGATGATGGTGATGATGGTGGTGATGATGACTGCGGTAGTGGTGGTGGCGATAATGACCACGAGGGGGACGAAGCCGAGGACGGTGGCGAAGAGAAAAGGGACGATACTACGAACAACGTCATGAGGCACATACCGCCTCAGCCCTGCAAAAGCCACGTGGACCTCATGTGGTGTGTCTCCTGAGCTCCTGAGGAACCGTCTTGGAGGTCCGTTGGGGCCGTCTTGGGCCATCTTGGGGCCCTCTCGGTGCCCTCGTGGTCGTCTGGGGCGGCGGTTAGGGGCCATCGCGGGGTTGTCTGGGGTCGTCCATGGGTCCTCCTTTGCAGCCTTGGTACATTTTTTAGGGGGGGGTTAGGGCCAGCTTGAGACTACCTTGGGTCTGCCCTGGGCTCTCCAGGGGCACTCTCAGGCTGCCTTGCGGCCGTATTGCGGGCATCCCTGGCTATCTCGAGGCCCCTCTGGGGCCGTTGCGCTGCCATGTTCGAAGCCGCTTGGGCAGCCTTCGGCCGACGGAAGCTCGAGAAAGCGAGAACCCGAAACCAACTTTCCACCATCGATGTTGACCTCTTCGGGCCGTGCTGGAGACTCCTCTGGAGCCCTCTTGGGCCGTCTTGGGGGCCCCGTGGGCGGCCTCGGAAATACGTTGGTAGTCTTGGAGGCATCCTGGTCCATCGTGGCTGCTTTGGTCCCCCATGCATGTTTTGTTTTCGGCCAGGTCTCGGTGCCGAGAACTAAGGCATGTCTTAATTGTCGGGCGGGGAACTAGGACAGGTCTCAACCTTCGGCTCCCGAAACGAGGGCTGTTGAAAACATTCAAAACCATTTCAAAGTGTCTGAAGACGTCGTGTCTTAGATATTGGCGCCGAAAACCCAAACCTGTCTTAATTATCGGATCGGGAACTGAACCAGGTCTTTGTCTTCGGTTCCCGACACTATGCCTTACCAATGCAATTCAACACAGCTCAAAACATTTAAACATGTCGTGTCTTAGTTTTCGGGGCCAGCAGCCCACGCGTGTCTTACCGAATGCGACGATTAAGACATGTCTCCATTGTCGGGCCGAAGAAGAAAACGCAAACTAAGACATGTCGCAGTTTTCTGGCCGAAAACTAAGACATGTCGCAGCTTTCTGAGCAAAAACTAAGACATGTCTTAGTTTTCAGACCGAAAACTAAGACATGTCGCAATTTTCTGGCCGAGAACTAAGACATGTCGCAGTTTTCTGGCCGAAAACTAAGACATGTCGCAATTTTCTGGCCGAGAACTAAGACATGTCTCAGTTTTCTGACCGAGAACTAAGACATGTCTCAATTTTCTGGCCGAAAACGAAGGACATGTCGCAATTTTCTGGCCGAGAACTAAGACATGTCTCAGTTTTCTGGCCGAAAACTAAGACATGTCTCAGTTTTCGGGCCTCAAACTAAGACATGTCGCAGTTGTTTGGCCGACAACTAAGACATGTTGCAGTTTTTCCACGAAAACTAAGACATGTCTTAGTTCTCGGGCCGAAAATTAAGACATGTCGCAGTTTTCTGGCCGAGAACAAAAATGTGTCTCAATTTTCGGGCCGAAAACTAAGACATGTCTTAGTTTTCGGGCCGAAAGCTGCGACATGTCTCAATTTTCGGGCCGAAAACTAAGACATGTCTCAGTTTTCGGGCCGAAAACTATGACATGTCTCAATTTTCGGGCCGAAAACTGAGACATGTCGCAATTTTCGGCCGGACAACTGAGACATGTCTTAGTTCTCGGGCCGAAAACTGAGACATGTCTCAGTTTTCGGCCCGAAAATTGAGACATGTCGCAGTTTTCGGCCGGACAACTTTCCTAATGTCGCTACATGTCGCTAAATGTCGCTAAATGTCGCTAAATGTTGCTAAATGTCGCTATGTGTCTCTAAGTGTCGCTAAATGTCTCTAAATGTCTCTAAATGTCGCTAAATGTCGCTAAATGTCGCTGAATGTCGCTAAATGTCTCTGAATGTCGCTGAATGTCGCTGAATGTCGCTAAATGTCGCGAAATGTCTTTAAATGTCTCTACATGTCGCTGAATGTCGCTGAATGTCGCTGAATGTCGCTAAATGTCGCTAAATGTCTCTAAAACAGACACCCAAAGACATCCAAAGACATCCAAAGACATCCAAAGACATTCAAAGACATTCAAAGACAAAACAGAGACAAACAAAGACATCCAAAGACACAGCAGCGACATCCAAAGACATCCAAAGACACGACAGAGACATCCGAAGACATTCAAAGACAAAACAAAGACAAACAAAGACATCCAAAGACACAACAGCGACATCCAGAGACATCGTGAACGCAAGCAACCCCCCCCAAACCCATACGATCTCGGAACATATGTGGGTAACTCCGCAAATCGCACGAAACAAGCATGCCAAGCCCCGCGACATCGCAAGGGAACCCAGTGCAATCTCATTGAACAATTAACAGAACCCTCTCGAACCTTTTGAATATCAAATCTAATTAATGCGCATCTCTTGCCACGGCGCAACAAACTCCCACTGGGATCTCGGCAAAATTCGGGAACCCGAAGTAATCCAAGCAGTTGGCGAGAATCCAAAGCAACGTAAGATAATCTTAAGCAATTGGGGGGGGGCCCACGGCAAACCGAGCGAATGCACGGTAACCTGGGCTAGTTAGGGCAATCCTAGGCGAGACCAGGCGAACGCAAGGTAAACTGAGCGAATTTAAAATAATCTGAGCTGTTTAAGGCAATCCTAGGCGAGTCTATGCGAATGCAAGATAACCTGAGCGAAACAATATAAATCATTAAGCAACGCAGCTCAAGCCTCAGAGTGCTTTGGGGCCCCTTTCTTCAGGGTCTTGGGCCAACTCCGAAGTTATATGGGGTGGTCCAACGGCGCCCTCGCGAGGCTTCCTGTGAAGCTCTCGGGCCCCCCATCAGAGGCCACTGAGGACGCCGAACGAGGCGCCCAGGATGCCCATTCAGGGGGCTTAGCATGCCTTCAGGAGGCTCTCGTGACCCCAGTGCTCGAATGCGTCGGGGGCAAATCAATCTCCTAGAAATCTGCGGATAAGAGCGAGGGTATTGGAGGAGGAGGAGGAGGAGGAGGAGGAGGAGGAGGAGGAGGAGGAGGGCGATGACGGGCCTCGCGGGCCCAGGGGGCGGGTGGTGGCTCAACAGGAATCTGCACCTGATGCACCGCGCCCATTTCGGCACCCCTCGCACGGATCCCGCCCCGTCCTGACAAAAGCACTCGATAGCCGCCAACTACACCTGAGGCCCACCGCCCATTTCAACACGCCCTCGCACAACGACCCGCCCGCGCCGCCACCCGCCCGCGACCCGCCCGCGCCGCGGCCCACCCGTGCCGCGACCAACCCGCGACCCACCCGCGCCGCGCCCAGTTCGACACCCCTCGCAATGATTGCGCACCGTCCTCGCCAGGGCTCTCGTGCGCCGCTGGGCCAGCGTAGCTGCTTTGGGCCGAGCCGTTACCGCGCCTGTTCAGGCCGAACGCTCCAGCTGTTGCACCCCGCCCCGCCACCTTGCAGAACGCCCGCAATGCCCGCACACGCGCCCGAGAAAAGGGAGGCAGAGGCGCGTTGTCGGAGCGCCCACTGGGGTCCGACAACTCGCGCTCTGGCCACCCTTTTTGGTGTATCTGTGGGCGTTGATCATCACCCCTTGGCGGCCCACAACCCATGGAGGCAAGCGGGCTGGTCGAGGTCGCGAAGCAGCCCAAGAAGAAGAAGAAACCTGGGCCGAGAAGCAAAAAGGACATCCGCTACGCGCGGGCCCGCGACAGGATGTTCGGCCGCCACCTGAAGGAGATCACCGAGACGTCGTCTGGCTCTGACATCCAGGATGAGGGCGTGAAAGAGTTCATGAAGAAGTACCAGAGCACGCACTCGTCCACGGTGATTCGCCGCCGCCGAAGCCACCGCGGTCGCCGCCGCCGCCGCCGACGACGACGACGACGACGAGGGCGACGACGACGACGACGAAGACGACGACAACGGCGACAACGGATACGATCATTGGCGCGGGGGAGTCGGAGGAGTCGATCGGAAAAGGGACTCGGGGGATGGGGGGTCGGAGGAGTCGGAGTCGGAGGAAGGGGAGCGGCGGTCGGTGGAGTCAGAGGAGGCCGACATTCTTTGTCGCACCCCCCCAGGTGAAGGCGCAGCTGCGAGAGGTCTGGGACAGATGCGACAGAGACTTCTCCGCCGCGGGGACGGTGATCCTCGCGAGGAAGACCATGTGGCACCTCGGCCGAAACAGAAACACAAACAAGCGACCATGGCCCAGGGGGAGGGGTGGGGGGTGCTGGCTGGGGAGGGGGGGGGTGCGGAAAAGAGCAGCGGGGCGCTGGTGGCAAGGTAGATGGTGTGAGAAGTGGTTGGATGGGGGGGGGGAAACGCACCGCGCCCCGTTCCCGCACCCCGTGGCCACACCTTGCTGCATCGCCCCCTCCCCCCTGGGTGAAGGTCGGTCTCGTGTTTTTGTTTCGGGCCGCGGGCCAGGCAAGAAACGTCTACGGAGGGCGAGTGGCTCACGCCCGAGCAGCTGGAGGACAGGCTGAAGTCGGCATTGCGAGCAGCATCATACACCACGTTCGCGAGGAAGAACGGGTTGACCAAGTTCGACCCGAAGGTGGATTGCACGGTGATCTACCACACGCGCAAGTTGGAGAGGTTCGGCACTAAGAAGGAGGGCATCATCGAGAAAGGGGGCACGGTCCCTGCTTCACGCGACGAGGACGAGGCGGACCAGGACGCGTATGAGGAGTTGTCCGACAGCGCGCGCGAGCAGGAGGAGGGAGAGGAGGAATGGGACGGTGACAGTGGCGACTGGGGCGACTGGGGCGAAGAGCAGGAGCTGCCCCCCAAGAAACAAGACGAAAAAGAAGAAGACTGTCTCGAGCGACGGATCCACGACCAACTCCGAGAGCAAGACGGTCAAGAAGAAGCATAAGAAGAAAGATAAGGGCGGCAGCAAAAAGAGAAAGCGCGACGATAGCACCGACACCGACGACACGAAGAAACATAAGAAGAAAAAGAAACCGAAGAAGGACAAAGACAATGACAGTGCGACCGACAAGGACAAGGGCACTGACAAGGACGACAAGAACAAGGGCAAATACAAAAACAAGGACAAGAACAAAGACAAGGAGAAGGATAAGGAGAAAGACAATGAGAAGGATAAGAAGAAGCGAACATCCAAAGACAACGATAAGGATAAGGCCAAGGGCAAGGACACAGGCAAGCACAAGAAAAATGACAAGAGCTCCAGCAGTGAGGAGGAGCGCAAAAAGAGCAAGAATGCAAGCAAGAAGAAGAAGAGAAAAGACAAGGACGACGATGTGGAAGTTCAGGCGCCAAGGCCGAAGAAGAAGGTGGAGCCGAAGGCGAAGGCGAAAGCTGCGAGGAAGGCCAAGGCAAAAGCTACGCCGAGGAAGAGGGGTGCCACGAAGGAGCCCGAGCAGGACCAACGGGTGCTGATAAGACTGCAGTGGAGTTGCTCGGGATGATGATGCAGGTGGAATTGGACGATGAGGAGTAGGAGGAGGAGGACGAGGAGGAAGAGGCAGAGGAGGAAGGGAGGAGGAGGAGGAGGGAACGGAGCTGGCAGGAGGTGGCAGGAGGCGGCAGGGGCCAAGAGGAGGCAGGAGGATGGCGAAGAGGGATGGCGCTCGCGAGGAGCGGAGTGCGGGGCGGGCGGGCGGGGGGGGGGTGGGGTGGGGGGGAAGGGAAGTGATTACATCTCCCGCCTCGAAGGCGGCGAATGTCTCCCCCCCCCCCCCCACCCCCCCCCCCCCCCCACCACCCCCCCACCCCACCCCGCCCCACCCCCCAATCCACCCCCCTCCCAAACCCCCGCTCGTCGCCCTGTGATCTTGCGGTGGACTCGCCAAGGACGGCAGCTCATCGTCGTCGAGCTCGGCATCGGACGACGCGAGCAGCGACTGAGGCGAGGCCAGCCCGCGCGGGCGCCAGCGGTCGTTGGCTCTGCGCGCCCCTTGGTGCGCAATCGAAGATGCTGGAGGCGGCGGAGGGGGGGGGGAGGACGGTGGGGAGGTCGTAGAGAGGAGGGGAGGAGGAGGAGGAGGAGGAGGAGAGGAGGAGGAGGAGGAGGAGGAGGCGGGGGAGGCGGGGGGGGGGGGAGGGGGCGGGGGAAGGGGGAGGGGGAGGAGGAGGAGGAGGAGGAGAGGAGGCGGAGGAGGAGGAGGAGGAGGAGGAGACGGAGGAGGAGGAGGAAGGAGGAGGAGGAGGAGGAGGAGGAGAGGAGGCGGAGGGGGGGAGGAGGAGGAGGAGGAGGAGAGGAGGAGGGGGAGGAGGGGGGGGGGGGGGCGGAGGGGAAGAAGGAGGAGGAGGACGAGCAGGAGGCGGAGGAGGAGGAGGAGAAGGAGGAGGGGGACGAGGAGGGTGAGGATGGGGGTGGGGGGGTGAGGAGGAGGAGGAGGAGGAGGAGGAGGAGGAGGAGGAGGACAAGGATCAGGAGGGGGAGTAAGAGGAAAACGACGAGGAGGAGGAACATGGGGAACAACGCAGAGCCAACGTCCCGTGCCCCCTGGCATCTCCAGGCGCGCGCGGCAGGCATGCGCGCATCGTTCGTTTCGGTGTCGCCACCGTGCCAGTCCAGCATTATCGGCGGCAACTGCTCGGACCGATGAGGACAGCGATCAAGCTGAAGATGATCATGGTCATGATGATGCTGATGATGATGATGCTGATGCTGATGATGATGGCGATGATGATGATGATGATGATGATGCTGATGGTGATGGTGATGATGGTGATGATGATGATGATGCTGCTGCTGATGCTGATGCTGCTGATGCTGATGGTGATTATGATAATGGTGGTGCTGATTAGTACAATGGTGATGATCATGGTAATGATTAGATGGTCATGATGGTGGTGATGACGACGATTGCGATGATGATGATGATGATGACGATGATGATGATGATGATGCTTTTAACGGTGGTGCCGCTACCGACGGTCATGCGAGGCCGATGTGGACAGCGAGGAACGGGGGAGGTGGAGGAGGACGGCGACGATGCTAGTGGCGGACGCGGCTGCTGAATAGCATGGTAACACTGATGATGGTGATAATGATACCGATGGTGGTGATGATGGTGGCGTTGATGATGGTGATGATGATGGTGATAGTGATGGTGACGATGCTGATGTCGATGCTGACGACGATGATGATGACGATGACGATGCTGATGACTATGATGATGTAGGTGCTAATGATGAAGACGGTAGTGGTGATGATGCTGATGGTGCTGATGATGTTGCTGATGATGATGGTGATGATGACGACGATGATGATGATGGTGGCGGTGGTGGTGATGCCGATGACATGATGGGGACGTGGACGATAATGGTGGTGATGAGGGGGTGGGCGACAGCGGCAACGACGAAGGCGAATACGAACGTCGCCACATGACACACCGTTCGTCTTCACTCCTGCTGGGGGGGGGCGCATGGACCTCAGTTGGTCTGTCTCTGGGCTGTCCTGAGCTCCTAAGGAGCAGTGGTGGGTGCCCCTTGGGGCCCTCTAGGACAATCATGTAACTTTCTCTGAACATTCGTACCCAAAACGGTCCAAAGGTGGGCCATCTCAGGCCGTCACGGGTCTCTTGGCGGTGCCCTGTAGGGCCAGCTTGAAGCGACATGGGGTCCGTCCTGGGCTCTCCAGATGCCCTCTTGGGCTGCCTGGAGGCCGTGTCGGAAGCGTCTTTGGCTATTGCGAGGCCTTAGTCGGCCGCCGTGGTGCAAGCTTCGAGGCCTCCTGGGCAGCCTTGAGCCGACGGAAGCTCGAAACGGCGAGAATATACTTTTACAACAAATGGAAGCAGTGATGTGGGTTCCTTCGGGCCTTGGTAGGTGCTCCCTTGGAGCCCTCTTGGGCCGTCTTGGAGGCCTCTTGGGCGGTCCTGGAACCATCTTGGGCCATCTCGGGCGGCCCTGGAACAGTCTTGGGCGCCTCGGAGAGCGTCAATGGTAGATCTGGGCCACGACGTGGCCTCGGGACGAGAAGGCGATGCACGCGCCTCTATATGCGGCCCAGGAAGTGCCCCCCCCCATCCCCCTTAGAAAACTACAAAAACCCTACCAGACAGCACGGAACACGGTTGCGGATTCGCCTGACCAAAGCCCTGTTGGGCCCAATTGCACGATGGCGAGAACGAAATGAACGGTGCGTGCACCGCGCCTGCACCGTGCCCACTGGTCTGCGGGCGGAGGCGTAGCCCAGCAGTCAGTGTAGGGTCGACTGCTCGGTGCTGCGAATATACAATCATTGATGAGTGGAAACTGTGTCGCCCGTGCTGATGCTCCATTCTGGCTACCCGCCCAAGAACTCGACATTTCTTTGCGCGATGCGGGATGCGATGGACTTCGTGGCGCTTCGCGCGTCCCCAGCCAATCCAGAAACGATGGCCAATGGAATTGGATGCATATACGAAGAGGAATCGTTCATCCGAACACAGTGTTGCGCCAACTGGTGGTCCACTTGAGGCGTGGCAGTCCTGAGGCCCCTTGAGGTGGCATCTTGGATTCCGAGGCATGCGGGGGGGGGGGGGGTGGGGGGGGGGATCTTGGGGTCATCATGGGAAGCGTCGGTCAAAGAACCACCACAATCGCTTCCCGTGGAACTCTTGGGGTGCTCGTCGGCAGACATCGGGCGCCCACAAAACTGTGACGCATGCCTCCTGGACCCCGCACCCCCCAGGGCAACCGTGAGGCCACATTGATGCATCGGAAGCTTATCGATGCAGAGAAGGCGAGCAATCACGCATCTCATATGGCGTTGCGGTCGTTGGTGTACGCACGCGTCTCGGGGGTGGGGTCTGGGCAAGGGGCTGTCCTGATGGAGATCCGAGAGCACGCGGTGCGATCTGGGGGCGGTTGTCGGGGTGTCTTGGGGCATAATGGACTACATGTTCATTTTTCTTCGGCCATCATATGGGCAATGGTGGGGGCAATATTGGTCCAGCGGACGCCCGCTTAGAGCCATCTTGGGCAACGCAGCGCTCGCTGTCACCTGCGTGCAAGAGGGGATTCGGCTGAACGCATCTCGTTGGACCACGCGCGCCCGTAGTGCTAGTGATAGTCGGTGACAACGAGCAGAGGATTGGGCGCTGGTGGAAAACGATCGGGGCGTTGAGCAATGGTCCGAGGCACGGGTTGGAGGGCGCCCGCCCTCCTTCTGCATCCTGCAAAACCCAGCCCACCTCA